GCCTCTCATCTATCTCTGTACTGTGAAATTCGACCTCGCCAAGTCGCCAGTTGCCTCTTCGTCTCCCTCTTCTCAAATTCCCTCCACCGGCCAAGCCCACACCACCCACCGTCCGCCTCTCCTTTCACACAGTCTCGCCTCTCCTCGCCCTCAGCTCGACACGTCGGCTCAAAGGCATCTCGCCGGCGCCTCTCCTCGATGCCTCGTCGCCTCCGACGCCTCGTCGGATCAAATATATATTTTTGCTGAAATTTTTGGTAGAACATTAGACGGGACAGGTCTGTTGGGATTTAATGTTGGATTTGTTTTTGTTAGTCTGTTGGGATTTAATGTTGGATTTGCTTAATTTATTATGTCTATTGGGATTTAATGATATTTGAATCTTATGAGAAATGCTGAATTAATTGTGAATTGTTGATGAATTCATTGTTAAATCATGCTNCCAAGTAAACAAAGTAAATCATGTACAACCCATTGTAGGTAATTTGTAGAAAAAAGTAAACAAAAGGGGCGGGCCAGGGCGGGGTGGTTCGCCCCGGCGCGGGCCAGGTCGCCGGGCGGCATTCTTGGACCCGTGGCGGGTCATGGGCCAGGTCGGGGTGTGGGCCTATGGTAGCGGGGCAGGTCCGGGTACTGAACTATCCCGCCTGACCTACCCCATTGCAATCCCTACGCTAAATCAAGAACTCTACAGTTCAAGGTTGGCTATTGACTATTAGATTTTCTTTATATAGATTTTTCTGTAAAAAAAATAAAAATTATCAATGTCAAAATTTTTTATGTAAAATAAATGCATATTTTTTTAAATGAACGTGTTTCTATTAAATATATATAAATGGTGATTTGAATACTAAGGAGATGTGACGGAATAACTAAATGTAAAAAAAATTCTAAAGAGGCATCTCTCTCTCTCTCTCCTGCGATTTTTCCCCAAAAATTAACCTAACCTTCGCCGCCTCTCTTTCGATCAATTTCACCTCCTCCGGCGTCGGCGAGGCCGGGCCGGCGGTCGCCGCGACTGCCTGCCTTGTCCCTGATGCCGGTCTCCCTCGTCTCTGGCTGTATGTGGTGGATTCGGCGGATTGGCTCAAGACGGTCGGTGGGTGAGATTCACGTTCCTTCTCCCTCGGGTGGAGTCCGGCGGCTTGCTGTTTTAGGTGGCTCTGGATGGGGGAGGTGGTCGCTTGTCCTCGGTGGTTGGGGCCTTGAAGCCTCCCCTCGGTCTTTTGCAGGGAGTGTCTCTGCCGAAGTTCGGGTGTTGGGGAAATCCTCCGGCACGGTGGCGTTGGGACGGCGGTGGTCAAGGGATGGGGTGGGGCTCCGGTGGCCTGTGATGGTGCTGCAGGAGTAGAGTATGTGGCTGCGAGCAGCCCCTATTCTCCGGTTCTGTTGCGACTTGGCCGGAGTCCGACGCCCCTGCGCAGTCTAGTGGTGTTAGGTGCGCTTGGGGTGTGCCGGTTAGGGGAGGCTCAACAGCCTGTACCCTCGG